CAGCAAAGCATTTGCACATAGGCTCAGGATGAAGCACAGCCTAAAGCCAAGCTTGAACCCGAGTGTGCTGCTGGATCCAGAGGAGGGAAAACAATAGCAACAGACAGTAATACTTGAGCAGGTACCCTGCAAGCACTTGCCATCTTCAAATAAACGTCTTTCTAAATTAATTTTTCAGCTCTTTCTAGCCAAGCCTGTGATTTCAGGCTGTAGAACGCTGCTGAAGAGGACACAGCGACTCTTGCCAGACTTCACGGCTTTCAAACAGACCACCTGAGGTGGGAAGAGACCATTTCCAGTCGGCTGGTCCCTAACGTAGCCCTTTCGAACTTTGTAAATGTAAATGAAGAGTTGTGGAGGGAGCGTTTTTGTCTGGGAGAGGTCACTGGCGCCTGGTCCCTAGGTGTGGCCTTTGGGGATATGTTTATCCCCACTAAAAACAGGTTTGCCGACAGAAAGCACCTTTTCACTACTGAACTTGGGGAGAAAAAAACACAACAGGAATGTCCTTAGGACATTTTGGGTGAGGAACTTTCACACACGAATTCCAAAAGCCCATTAAAAATATACTTAAAAGAAAACACAACAGAATAGAGCAAACAAATTGCCCCCCAAAATCATTAACAAAAAGTAAAAGTAACATTATCAAACTATATATATAATGGTTTTCATTAAAAAAGAAGGAAAAATGCACACCTACCGCCTGCAGTTCTGGTCAGGTTCTCCCTCCGCCCACCCCAAAAAAGTAAAAATTAAAAAAAAAAATACAAATAAATTAATCTTTCCACCTGGTTCCCAAGTGAAACAATTCCTCCCTCCGCTACTCTATTTCTTGAACACATCTGTTAGAAACCTCAAGAAAAAAAATCTGTTCTTCAGATGAACCTGAAAGTAGGACTTTTCCCCCAGTCTTTGCAAACCTGGACTTATTTTAACAGTAGGCTTCCCGTGCATTGGAGAGATGAGATGGGTGTCAGGTACGTGTGTCCTTATCAGAACATTAGAATGATTCCGCCTGTGCTGACAAAGAGTGTTTGAATCTGGGATTGCTCTGGGTTAATGGCATCCCTTTGAGCTTGAAATCGGCACTTTCTCCCCATTGTAATGCGAATTGCTTTGGGCTTCGATCTGTCTAATGATTGAGATAATATCATTCATTAGCTCTAATAGCAATGGCCCTGCCTCACCCAAGTGTTTCAATATGCAAATGGCATCATTTAGGCCAGCGGGAGTCACTCCCTTAAAATTATATATGTGGTTTTCTACTTGGGCAAACGGGATTCCCAATGCACTCAGGGAAGTAGAGATGTTTTGTCAGGTTCAAAAGATAGGTACTTATTTTAAGTTGGGCTGTTTTTTTTAAATAAATTGCAAGAGGTGGAAGACACTTGAGCTTCCATGTTAACCTTCAGCAGTGGGGGCTGAGTAAAGGATGCCAGGTTTGCATGGCAGTAAAGGATGCCAGGTTTGCATGGCAGCTGGCAGGAAGTATCCAGGATTGTATATTCTGCCCTTCAGGCACCTGGGAAACGTCCTCTGAAGCCCTCAGCACTTTGCCAAATCTTTATTTCCCTTTAGTGAACATATTAAAACATGTATCAGTGGAATTGAACCTTTGTGATCCTTCTTTTCTACCTTGATGTACATCTGTGGAGATGTACCCACAAAAGGATCTTAATGGGCCAGCAGAAACCATTTCTGGAG